TCTCCAGGGATGGAGATCCCATGTCCCCTCTGGGCACCCATTCCAGTGCTGCACCACCCTTGGGGGAAGCATTTTTTCTTTCTGTCTAACCAGAATTTCCTTGGATGCAGCTTGGCCAGTCACCTCAGGTCCTTCTGCTGGGCACCTCTGAGAAGACTCTGGCTCTATCTTCCCTCTAGACACACCTTAGGTAGTGGAAAATTGCAATTAGGCTGCCCCCTTAGCCTCCTCCAGGCTGAACAAACCTGGTCCTTTCAGTCCCTCCTCATACATCATGTCCTCTGGACCCCTGACCATTTCATTTGCTCTCCAGTGGACTTGCTCCAGTGTTTCAACATGTCTTTCGTCCTGGGGGACCAGGTATTTCATATGTGTCCTCATAAGTGACAAGTGGAGAGGAAAAAACCTATCTCAATCTGCTGGCTACACTCGTATTAATGCAGCCTTGTAGAGGTCCAGTGACTACGATCCTTTTTAATCTCATCCTGGTGAGAATTGCTAAGGAAGCAGACTGAAGTTACTTGGAAAATGGGCCTTTTGAAAGGCATATGGCACCATGAACGTTTTACTAATACTGTGTGTCCAATTAAATTAATACCTGGAATAAAAAAGGAGGCGTGTGATGGCAAGCCAGCATTTGTCCAAGATTATGTGGTAGCTAAGGGGTTGCCTTGCTACTGTAGAGCATTAGGGGGTGCCAAGGGAAAGCAGGGGTGGCATTGCACTTGAGCAGGTCACATTTAACCCCACTCTTTTCTACTGAAATTGTCACAGATGCAGGTATTTGAAGTAAGCATATGCCATCTTACCAGATGTACCACAAACGGTCCCACGCTGTACCTGAACAGCTGAGAAGAGGATACAAGAAATAGTTAGCCACAGAATACCAAATAAATGGGAAGATCCCTACTGTATCCTCTTCCAGCTCCCCTCATGCTCCTCACTTACAGTCCAGATTATAAATGGCACAACGTTGAGAAGCTCACTGTGTTTGGTGGAGGACACAGTTGTCTGACCTCATTAATCTGCATATTAGCTGAGTTTCACTTCTGTTCGGCTTTCTCTCTTTATTATTTGATAAATATATCTGATTTTTGTGCCTGCCCAATTCTGTTTGCAAACCTTAAGGATTTACATTCACATTCATTTTGTCTTAATTTCTGTCATTCTTAGAAATGACATCACCAAGAGGAATATTCACTAAAGCAGTGTATTTCAAACCAATTTTTCAAGGAAAGGTCAATTCCAAATTCATAATCTCTGTCAATGAAAATGACACCAGAAAGCTCTTGATCATTAAAGTTATCCAAATAGGTAGCAGGAACCATACCACATGATCAGTACGTTGAATAGATAGTAATTAATACACCTCACTTTCAAAGCAATGGAAATTTTATGTGAGTTTTCAATAGTTGCAAGTACAGTAAGCTTTTCTGGAAAATGTCAGCCACCATGTCATAACACTGATGTCCACTTCTGCCTTTGTCTTTCTTCTTAAAAGAGTGCAAGATTGACAAATACTCACAGTTCAGTGTTGAGGCAGCCTTCCTCACCTCTCACTTGGGGGAACTAGAAGGAGAAAAACAAACAAGACACAGCTAGAGTGAATCAGGTCTTTGTCACATGCAACTTTTATCTCTGTCACTTGGACTATGACCAGTCTGAATCTCCTACGGTAAGGACTTGCTGTTATCTATCTTCCGTTCTTTCCATCAGATAGTCTGCTGTAGATTTGAAGTTATTGTGATACCACCTGCATTGTTTCATATCTTAATTTCCCGTAGTCATTAAATTCCTACTTAGCACTGTTCCCAGCACAGACCCAGACTTACCTTCACCTTCACAATTTTCCCTTTCCCCACCACAAGCTGTGTCATGCTACAGATGTATATCCTTCTCCATGCTCCAACATTAAGAGCCTTTAAATGTCCTGCTTCGTATTATACTCACGCTGACTTAAATTCTGCTCTGTCCCTCCAGCACTCCTACCCACCTCATTCCTTTGCCTTGGGTACCCTGACCTCTGTGTTACCATCCCTGGAACAGCAGCAAATATTGTCTCTTCTGCACATCTGCCTTTTATATGCCAGTTCTTTTTAATATCAGGGAAATTCCTGTGACTGTCAATTGCTAATGCCCCTCTACCTTTCCAAGATAACTCCACAGCTGTGCAGAGACCCCATAACAAGGAACCTGAGGTATCACTTACCCATAAGAAACACCCTAAAACAAAGCAGATCATGACTGGACTGTGCATGCCTGTAGGGTGGTTCTGTGGTGTCTTGCTGTCTCAAACTGCTTGATATTCTCTTGTCCTTTCTAGTTGCAGTTCATCCTCACCAGTCCACTGACCAGGAGAAGGAACAAATTCCCAGTTGTGTGCTGAATCCAATCTCTTCTTCCTCCTCTACCTCCTTCTGTTCTCCTCCAGGTCTATCCTTCTTCTCTGCCCTTCAGGTTTTTGCTTTCTCTCTTGCCCTCTTTGTCACTGGCAATTCCCGTTTGTTTCTGCCTGCCTCCTTTTGTTATTCTCTTGGCCTGCTTCTCTCCCTCTTTTGAATGGATCTCTAAAACCTTCCAGCCAGATCAGGAGAAAAGCGGTGGCTACGAGTTCTTACTGTAGATGTTGAACTAGTTTGGTGAAGGGCATCATGAGATCTCTACAGACCTGACCCTTCCCTTCTGTGAGCAGAAAGGGTCTCTGAGCTTGTTCATTCCCAATTATTCCTCTCCCCGCCCCTACCCTGAGGGGAGTGGGTTGAAGGTCATATTATTGACCTGTTTAAATGGAGTTCAGATTCCTCTCCCTCCTCCAGTACCTTTTCTGTCCCTGTACTCACATTGTCCTGCCTCTGTGGGTCCCGTCTATTGACTTT